CACGAAGATATTAAATAAATAAAACGCTGCTGTTTTGACATTCTACAGCATGTGGCGTGAAAGGACAGCAAACACACTCGATGAACCACACTGAGTGGTTGATAAAACATAGGTCCAAAAGATGCTTTACAACAGTTTCTGCACAACTCGCGGCTACCGTAACTATTTTAAAAAATGCTTATCGATTCAAAGATGCTTTATTTCAAATTCCACATATTAAATGTTTCCGGACACTGTGAGGTAGACATTTCACCTTGCATATTACTTTTTATATAGTGACTTGCTTTGGGAAATTTCTTGACTAGCTGAGCATGCTCTTAGCTTCTCAAGGACTCTGATCCATCGAGTCGGTCAATAAGTTTTTGATAAAATGGTTATCTGTTTTTCTGATAAGACTTTCATGTGGCAATAATATTGCAGGTTCAAAGTTCTGGTGTCACAAAACACTTACTGTAAATGATTTCACTTCAGGAAGCCACAACACTGCTTGCGACGTCCCTGTTGCTCCTCCTCGTGTAGTGCAGCTTTCAGAGCCTTGTTCACATCTAGCCCAATCGCCTGTCCCACCTGCAAAACCACATTATCTGTCCACGACTACACGTAACTCAACCCCCGAAGCCACGATTTAATAAATACAAACATTAAAATTTCTTATTTATCTCCAATTAACCCAATACACAAACCTTGAGGATGTCGAGCAGTGTCTGCGGGTGGAAGCTGCCAACACCGGTCTTGAAAACGGATGTCACCAGCGAGTTTTCTGTTACAGCAATCACCACACTGGCATTACTGCAAGTCTCCTCCTCTGCTGTGGGATCGACCACGCAGTGATCACCTATCTGTAAACATTATCATCACCTGACTCTATTATATACAATTATTCTGGCCTTCACGTTACACGCATATACACACGGCACGCAGTTAAAAAATAATTAAGATCTGAAACTAACTACATATGTAACAGGCAAAAGTCAACGATAAGAAAATAAAATCCTGAAACAATGGAACATTTTAAACCCACTGGGGTCTCCTTTAAATGACCAGCTACCAGACCTAGAGGATTATTTTTAAAAAAACAAAGTCAGAACAAGTTGTCCAAAAGTAAAGTTCAGTGTTAAGATTCCAATCAGTTAGAACCCAGAGCAATTCTTTGGATTTCTCCCGTTTCAAACCTAACAAACTGCAAACAACATTGTAAGCAGTAGAAAAAGGAGTGTTCCGCCATTCCAGACCAACAAACCAAGTGATAGTTGAGACCATCATCAGAAACCTTTTCGGTTGCTCTGTCGCTGAAAAAATTATGCTTTTTATTTTCCAATTCATGAACTGCCACTTCTAAGATCAAGTTCCGATATTTATCACAGGTTTCTTAAAAATGTATCCAACAATATATATATTTGTTGAGTTGAAAAAGTATAAATCTCCGGGCACTTATCAGATTCTGCCCGAACTGATCACAGCAGGAGATGAAAACATTGCGTTCTGAGATACACAAATTTATCTGCTCTATATGGAATAAGAAGGAAATGCCACAGCAGCGGGAGGAATCTATTATTGTACCAGTTCATAAGAAAGGTGGTAAGACTGACTAATAATTATAAAGGATGTATGATCTTGAGCTTTCGTGGCGACTATGTACAATAAAAGATTTTATTGTAATTATCAAGGAATCTCCCTCTTATCATCTGCCTACAAAATTTTAACCAACATTCTTCTGGCAAGGTTGACTCCATATGCCAATGAGACTATTGGAGATAATTAACGTGGGTTCCGTCATAACAGATCCACAACTGATCAGGTTTTTTACATTTGCCAGATGCTAGAGAAAAAGTGGAAGTACAATGGGACAGTCCATCAGCTATTCATAAACTTCGAGAAGTTAAAACAGAAGCTCTTTACAATATTTTGCTTGAATTTGGTGTACCTAAAAAGCTCATCAGGCTAATTAAAATGTGTATAAGTGAAACTTCTAGCAAAATTCGTGTAGGTAAACATTTGTCTGATACATTTCCTATTCAGAATGGCCTGAAACAGGGAGATTCTCTATTGCCACTGCTTTTAAATTTTGCCTTAGAATATGCAATCAGGAAAAGTCCAAGAAAGTTACGGCGGTCTGGAACTGAATGGGACACTTCAGCTTTTGCTCTATGCGGATGGTATTAATCTGTTGGGTGATATTATAAAATACTGTAAAATTGAACACAGAAACACTCTTAACAGCTGGAAGCGACGTTGGTCTAGAAATAAATGAAGAAAATATGAAGTACATGATAATGCCTCGGCGTCAGAATTCAGAACAGAACCAGAATATATGAAGTACATTATAATGCCTCGGCAGAATTCAGAACAGAACCAGAATATAAAGACAGCTAACAAATCGTTCAAAAATGTAACAGAATTCAAGTACTTGGGGACGACACTAACAAGTCAGAATGACATTCATGATGAAATCAAGATCATATTAAATTCAGGGAATGCTTGCTGTCATTTGGTACAAAATCACTTGTCCTTCCTAAAGATTAAAATATACAAAAGTGTAATTTTGCCAGTTTTGCTGTATGGGTACAAAGTGTTGAGGAAGATATTTGGACCTAGAAGGAAGACGAATCATGGATAAAATTGCATAATGAACTTCACAGCCTGTACTCCTCACCTGACATTGTACGGGTGATTAAATCGAGGAAGATGAGGTGGGCGATACATGTGGCACGCATTGAGGGGGAGGGTTCTTTACAAGGTATTGGTTGGTAGGCCTGAAGGGAGGAGACCGCTGGGAAGACCTAGGTGAAGGTGGGAGGACAAGGTAAAGGACAAGATGGACCTTAGGGAGAAAGAAATCGAGAGATTGAATTGGATGCAGCTAGCTCACTGTTATGATATGCCATTGTCCAATGTGATCCAATTCCCCACTACAAAACCTTCTACGCACTGCATCATTTTGTGGGATCTATTACACTGAATGTTACAACGGCAAACTAACAATTCCAGTGTGGGTAGGGATGTGCACATCGTGGCACGCATGAGCACGCTCTAGTCTGTCTGCCGTGATCTCTCTGTATCACATCTGTCCCAGAAATTGATGAAGTTATCACGTGCACAAATTTTGCAATGTCCACACATTATCAATCTATAATACCTCCAGCTAACGTCTTCTGACATCCAAAGAAACCAAAGACTGGGAATTCCTAGGCCACTGAAAAGCAGAGAAGAAACAGCCAAAATTGCCCCAAAGCTGAGACCATCAGGTGAACTTTCATACCACACGACCTGCACACCCTCGTTCCTTCCCATTCAAGGACTTCCGATCTGTTCAACAAATTCCTGTTGTTATGGAGCCTGGAAGTCCATCGGTACATTTTCCCACCACCAAACCCTATTCTGAACATTTCCCTGCATTCTTCAGCCCCCAACACAAATACGACACAATCAAGACAACAGGTCAATAAGACAGAAATCAATTTAATGAATTCTTCTCAGGTTACCAGTTTGACGCGGCCAATAGAAGAACAATTCATCATACTTAAGTCATTGTGAAAGCTTCAGGTCGTACGTAAATCAATTTGACAATGTGATATTCACCTTGCAGAGAGTAACGAGGCAGGGAGTAGCAGACACATCCAAGCGAAAGCAGTCAAATGGGTCATCTGAAAGTTGAAGGTCTACAGTTGCCCCATCCATAGTGGCTGCTTTTACTTTCGGGATGCGAGTGTTGTGGAGGGCAGCCTTCACGGCAAGCGAAACTGCATCAAACAGGTTGCCTCCACACTCCAGGATCTGCAATACGTTTCATCACCATTACAACAAAAGCCACAACGATGATTCTTCAGACAACCGTGACCCTAATAACGTGACGGATGTAGCATCGTTTAGATTCGACGCTCACTCGAACAAAGCAAGAAATTACTAATATGCTCTACTTTTTAATGGGCACAATGCTGTATATATTTCAAACTACTGAAAACAGAACAATGAAATTATCCAACATACATACTGAATGCACAATGTATCATAAAAAATTAACAACTGATTCTTTTAGTCTGTAAGCAGAATACATTTTGTAAGTAAACATTCCTTTATAAATTCTGTAAATCTATTCAAAATTAACAAAAGTACAAAAAAAAAAGTTACCTAACCTTGTAGATATCTCACTTACCATCGAAAAACTGTGTTTTTACATTACAAAAAGTTTTCACAAGTGAAAATAACACTTAACGTTAAAGTAACACAACTTACAGAAATATTCAAAGACCTGAAACTGCCACAAAATAAGAGAGAAGTGAATTCTGCAACGATGTTGAGTGAAAGTAATATAATGGACACACAATGAACGCAAAGCGCAGAAATAATTTCCCATAATATATGGTGACTACAAACAAGCATGAGGAGCTATAACAAACACTCAAACTCAGTTTTAATGTTTATACGATTCAGTCATCCGATAATGACGTACAGCTTTCATGATGTATATTTAACAAAACATGTAATGTACAGCTACTGACAACGGCTTCACGAAGCTGAAACACACATAAAGAAATAAATAGCCAACAATTATGGTAAAAGTGGTTGTTTATGAAGCTTTTGCACAATTATTTTGGGTTTCACACATACGAACAGAAGCACAGAACTGAACAGAAATCAGAAGGGAATTCTTATGTCTTCTTCTTCTTCTTCTATGGCTCTCCGGTCCGTATTCGGTCCATGGCCTCCTCAATTCTCCTCTTCCATTCGGTCCTCTGTTATTTCCGTCTGTCCGAGGCTCTGATTGAGGTTTCGAAACATCTTCCTTTTTACGGTGCAAGGTTCTTAGCCTTGCGACCAACCCCCAACCTGGAGGACCAGGGTACCTGTCTTAGTCTGACCTCTCCCCCTCGACC